CAGCCCAGGGCGCCGGATGCAAAAGGGCGGCAAGGACGCCCTTCTCGTGTGGATCTTTATTGCATTTAGTGGACGCCGTGGAAATCTCTAGGGCACAGGTCAATCAATGTTCATCGAATTTTGCATATTTTCAATCTAATATAAATGTCGATAATAATAAGTGGGAAGCGAATTGAATTCCTTGACTGCAGATGCCACCGGAATTGATCCCCAACGATGATGACGACTTCCCGGAGATCCAGGAAGCGATACAGGAGGCGCTCGATGACATCACTAATGACGTATTACAAGAAATACCAGAAGATATCCCCAACAGTATCGGTAACTTTTTATAAATTGTCTTAAAATTACTACTAAAGTTAAGCTGTCCTATCTTCCTTATACAATGTGATACTTCGATACATCTCTATCAGCAATCCTATCTGAATTCACTCCTTTAAGTCCTCTTTCACACAATCCATACTTTCGTCGGTCTTCCTTTACTTTTGTAGCCATCCTCTCCTCTGTGTTGACAGATGACAAAGACCCCGATTACACACCAGTGTCATCGGTGGCTTCACTGACCAGCGCGGAGTTAGAAGACCAAGATGTAGATGTCAAAGACGATACTTATTACGTTGCTTAGTTTATTACGAAATCAGCTACACCCGCGTCACAAAAGTTATGTGTTCTTCCAAATTGTTCTCCACATCTGTGTCTCATCGAGATCCCTCCAGAAGTTTAGGTCACAAACTCTAACAACTATCCATTCAAACTTTCACAATTAAAATATCGGTGAGATAGTAAGATATCAGAAAGTAAATTAGTTAATATAATATTCATCTTGTTTAGTTTGTTAGAATTTTTAGCCTAAAAGATTTACGAATCTCGATGAAATTTGGCATAGACGTAGAGAATAATCTAGAAGAACACATAGGCTACTTTTGTTTATTGATTCTACGAGTCGCAGGTGAAAGCTAGTTTTGGATAACAGGAAAGGAAATTGATAGTTTAAAATATATTTTAATTGTTGGTTTATTAATAAAAAGTTTTGATTTGGCAGTTTTTTTTTTCCTTTTTCAATATCTTTGTAAGCGATTTAATAATTAGAATATAACTAGTAGGTTTAGAATATAGATCGAACTTGTGTCTGTTGTTGCGAAAAGTGCAAATTGTCAAGAATGGAGTACCTTTTGCAATCCCAGATAAAAGATAGTTGTAAGTTAGCTCTACCTGAAGGCCTAAGGGATTTGATGAGCGATATTTCAAGAGAGGTCAGTTAACATTTTAGTTAATTAAGTAAAAAATAGTGAAATCATTCTACGTCAAAAGAAACTTAAATATTTGTTATTTGTAATATTTATGCACTAAAGTTTATTTATAAATTCATTACGATACAATGTTTATTTACAAAAGTGGTCAAACGCATACTGCCTAAACTATGCTCAAGGTCCGTCTTTTGCCCTCTTGAAGCTCCAATTGAAAAACTTTCTTAATTATTGGCTTAATTAGTGCCGGAGGTCTAATTTATCTTTCCTATTCCATCCTTCACGTACAAGGAAAGAAGGAGAAGTTAATTTAGCAGAGAATAAGACACAAGTAAAGTATCCTCTTACTGTGCGTCCTTTCCTCTGTTGATTAATGGTAGACAACCTGTGGTTGCAGGAAATCTATAGGCATTTTGGCGAGTTTCAGTGTCCGCTTACTCGTCACCTTACACTATAAAAAATTAACCCGATCGATACGTTGTGCGTACATAAAATTATAACAATCTCACATTATTTAACAGTCAGATTTATTTATCTTTCCTAGTCATAATTCTAGGTCTTACGAGCAAGACCACAGAACCTGTATCAATTCATCGCTGATTATCTAGCAGCTATGTTGGTTGCGCGTGAGACGTTGACCATTGCTGGCCATGTATGCAAAGGTGTTTGTGACTGCAGTTGCGAACCGGAATTGGATGACGAACTGCGAAATATCGGATTGAGTCCAGAAGAAGTCGATGAAGCTAAGAATATTATAATTCGATACTTAGAAAAAGATAAAGGTTTTTTATTTTTATTTTATCTGGCTTATAAATGTCGCATATAAAGATTTTTTTGTCCTCAAAATAGTATAACGTAGCTTTATTTCTATGCTTCTATTGTTTTGAAGTGGTTAAATTGTTCAAACAAAAATCGTTTATAAATTCGTCGTAACTTAACCCGAGACTGTTTATTGTTTATACGAGAAATAAAGATATTTAAACAAATGATAATAATTCAAAACGGTTCGAGCATCAAAAACCATTTTAAGTAGAACTAAGTGGTACTTTTAATTCCGTTTGCGTTGGATTAAAAAGCAAAAGTTAGTAGCATATGTATCCTTCCAGACAATATTCTACAGTTGTGCAAAATTCAACGAGATTCGTTCAGCAGTTTAGGCTACAACATCCATGCAAACTTTCGCATTTATAATATTAGTAATATTACGCGTAGTGTCAATTATTCCAGTTAAAGAAGAGAGTTTGGTTGCTAAATTATTGAGAACAAACATAGACCAACAAAAAATACCGAACATACAAAAAGCAGTTAAGGCTGCCTACAAACGAAACTTACAACATAAATACTCTGATGTAAGAAACCATTATATCTCATAAGATTCCTAAAATAAACTTAGTAATCAAAGTATTTAACACGTATATTTTTTTTTTCACTTAACCATTTTCATACATATTTACAAATGTAATAGACTAGCTGTTCCCCTGCGACTTCATCCGTATGAAATTATTAAAATTTTATTTTATTATTTACATTTGTCAAATTATTACAAATGTCAAAATGACATGACATGATGAATCTTGCTTTCTTGATGTTGGCAGCAACTAATGGTCTCTTTCCCACATAAGGGTTTTTATCCAAAACAATTATCCCCTAAATTCAATGGCGTTAAATTATATAGCCTAAAGCGTGACGCAAGTGTAGGGCTTTTTATTTAAAAAAAAAAGATTATTAAAAAATATGCTGTGATTGCTGACGGCTTAGGCAACGAAGTAGTGTGTGTATAATCTGTATTATAATAGTATAGATTTTATTCCGTTCTCAAGGGTTCAAGCGATGACGTCACAAGAGCGGCCAAGAACACGCTAGAATTTTATTGGAAGTTGGGATCTGGTAAAAAAAATGGAGAGTCAAACGAAGAACAGGTAAATGCAAAACGTAAATAATAAATTTTTGTCAACTAAATTATAGCGATTCAAAGAGATTGATGGATTGCGTGAAAGGTGATCAAAAAGGGAGTGATGACTGAGATGATGTATGATAGAGTTATGTGGAGGACAAAAAACTATTGCGTCACTACGGGAGAAGGATGATGATGATGAATTAAATTAAATCAATTACGTAGTAGTGTCGCCATCTGGTGGACTTTCAGGGATCAATTAACGCTGGACATCAAGCCGATGCCTCGTCGTCAAACAGTTCGCAATATATGTTCAAAAACATTGTCTATGATGGAGGAGTGAGTTACATTTTACACTAGCTTTCGCCCGCGAATCCGTCAACGCGGAATTTAAAACATCTAATTAGGCTGTGTTCTTCCAGACTTCAGCAGTTTAGGCTACAAATTCTGACAAACATTCATCTATCTAAACTTTCGCATTTATAATATTAAGGACCTCCCCCAGTTGTCTGATAACAATTCAACGTGTAAAATATGTTATGAAAATATCGGATTTTGTTCCCTATATGACAGTGACGTCATTTTAAGCTATCTGAGCCTCTATCAGACAGTGTTGGGACATGTCCTTATTAAGATATATTTATGTGTAATCTGTTTAGTTTCCACTGCCGAAATATCTGTAGATAAAAACATAACTGGTCTAACTTTTTAAGTAGAAAGAGGTGGTTTATGAAAGTTTTTTAAAAATATGTCTCTTTTAGATTAACGATTTATACGTCTCGAGTAATTGTAAACCATGTAAGTACGAAATTAAATGTTGTATAATTTTTTAATTACTACTAAATTAGTGGCTTTTTAATAACTTAAAAAAATGATGTAAAAGTAATCACTTAAGAGCGTGCGCACACCTTTGACTAAACTATGGCATAACTGTTTAGTCTTGCTTTGATTCATTTGAGCTTGGAGGTGCGCACACAATTCGATTTTTAGTTGTGCAACTAAACAGTTGAATTGGCTGCGAAACAATCGACAATCGCACATCGTTGTGCGACAGTTTAGTCACAAGTGTGCGTCCGCTCTAAAAAGTTTTTTTTTTAATTTGTAATGTTACGCACTAGCTGTAATTTTATATAAATTTTATGCAATATTTATGTAATTTTTAGATAAAAATAATTCCTTAACTTCACTAGCGGGATCTTACGGGATACCTCTTGTAAGTAAACAAACAAATAATAAGGAACAATTAACTAAACCTAATAATGAAAACGAACACTTAAAAGTGAAACAAAAGAAATCAGATAAAAGACAAGTGCATATAGATTTAGGTGAAATGACAGATAAAAATGAAATTGTTGGAGAAATCGTAAAAGATGGGGAAGAATTTGGTGATGAAGGATGTGGATATATCGATGATGAAGTTTTATACGCTGATGATGAATCTGATATATCCATCACTGAAGATATAATTGAAGAATAAAACAAAATAGTACCAAAATATGTGTAAAATGCAGGGTACATTTCAGTTGGCACGTCAATACAAGAGTACTCTTGTAACTGATGTGCCAACTCAAGGACGTCGGTTTTGTTTTTTAATAAATAAATTTTTCGGTTTGAAATAATCTTTATTTTTTTCTAAGATAAACTAAATTACAAGCTAATCGTAGGGCAAAACTTAATTGTCTAAAAAATATTTTTTGGTCATAAAAATAGTACAAATTTTCAATATATAAAATAAACATTCGTTCTACATAATAATAAACATATGTACTATGTAACCATGTTTAAATGCTCAACATATATATAAAATTCAAATAGCAAATAAACTGTATTAACTAAAATTAGTGTTTAAATAATAAAACTTAGTAATAGATTAGTAGAAATCACAGCAGACCTCGATACCATATAGAACCATAAATATCAACTTAAAAAATATTGCTATCAAACGTGAAAAGGAACGGATATATCTTCTATCTCTGTCGGACAAACAGTTCTAATGTATATCCATCTCGTTCATTAAACGTGGCATCTCAAAAAGGTGAAACGGAACGGATTTATCTTCTATCTCTGTCGCACACACAGCTCTAATATATATCCATCTCGCTCACTGAACGATGCTTGTCATAAGGCAAATATTTTGGTCGAAATTGGATTGTTGATATTAATTGAAAGACTAGGTTATTTTAAATATAATTGTTCGATATGCAACTAACGTTTATAATTAATTTTATATACAGATATACTTAAAAACTAATAAATCTAATTATTTAAGACTATTTGGGTGGAAACAGGTTCGGCAAAAACTATATTTAAAAGGTTTTGTGCGTTTTATTATATTATGGGTTATAATATCATGAACTCTTGTTATGTACATGTTTATATATCTTAGACCTAAATATTTAAGTGCAAACGATATAAGAACCGAATTAAATAGGAATATTTGAGCTACCGTATTCAGAGATCTTCGTGCACTTTGGTATTAATAAAATAAATTTTAAAATATCATAACATCTTGCAGTTTTCTTAAAAAAATACATTTTAAAACAATTATCTACAAATGTGTTTTCTATATATTTTATTATGCAAAAAAAAACAACATGGTTTTTAACAATTCCTAAACATAAGCCTACTTCCACTAGGCTAGCGTTGACGCGCGGATAATCCGCACTAGTGGAAATCAGACAACTACTAAAGCTTACTCAAAAAATGGATTTAACTGCGCTAAACACTGTCAGAACGACGCGCCATTATTAATATTAACAGAAATGAGACTGGTATAAGCTAACAATAATAAAAAAATAATATATATATATATACGGCAGATTACTGAAACGACATTGCAATTTGTAACAACGTCTTAATAAGACGCTTAAACAAATTCTATTATTTGACGTCTCTTAGATTTCGAAGCAAATTACATAAGATTCGTTTCAGTAATCCGCAATTCTGGCGAAATGTAGTCGACAATAGTCATGGATGTTTCTCAGTCGTGTCATTAAAATTAGATGTACTTGTGGTCAGATGTTGTCGACGCCGCTGCCCATCAGCTTGTTACCGTATTCACTTAGCACCTGTAAAAAAATCTTATAAAAACCTTAAAGTGAACCTCTTGGGTTCGCGATAAGTTTTTTCGAATATCTTGACGGCTCGGAACATGGCACTAGTTGCATATATACTAATAATATAAAGAGGAAACATTTGTATTTTTGTATGTATTAAAACTCAAAAACTACTGGACCTGTTTAGTAAAAATTGTTCGATAATAGAAAGCTACACTATCACCGAGTCACATAGGCTACTTTTTTGTTATTTTTATAGTTCACACAGATGAAGTCGCAAGCAACAGCTAGTCAACTAGTATCTACTAATATTATAAAGATTTTTATTTTAGTATGAAGCGCAATAACTCCAAAACTACCGGGCGGATTTTAAAAATTCTTACACCATTAAAAAGCTACGTTATCAGTAACATAGACATGTGAAGTAAACCAACCCGCATTAGGCCAGCGCGGTTGAGTATGGCCTAGTCCCCCTAACTTAAGTTAGGCTCCGAGGCTTCGGTGGGGATATATAATGTGATGTTGAATAGCTTTTTTTTGTGTCGGGGGGGGGGGAGGGGGGCGAATCTTCAAAAGATACAATGCCTTTTGGGGGAAGGGTTATGTAGGATTTCACCTACTAAAACCCATCCTCTAGTGACATTGACGAAGGTTCAGGGATCTCCAAGGAACACACCGGTACCTTTAGCACTGATGTTGAATAGGCGTATATATTGTAGAGCACTGCCAGAATACTAACCTTGTATATGAATATATAGTGATGTCTGTTGGCGAGCGCGTGCGGGCGCTGCGAGCGCAGGCGGCGCACGACGCGCGGCACGTCCACTGCGCCGGCGGCCAGCGCGCGCGCGCACGTCTCCAGCGCCACCGCCGCCGCCGCGCGCCCCGCGCCAGACGCGCACACGCACACGCACGGACGCACGCCTGCCGTAGCACGGAAATACACATTTCTCAAACATTTAGGACCTGTCCCACCACTGGCTGATATAGGCTCAGATATCTTAAAACGTCACTGTCACATAAGGGAACGAAATCCGATATTTCCATCACATTTACACGTTGGATTGTTCAGGCGATTTACAATTTGGTACGAACGAACATGACATACGGTCGATATCACTTATATTATAAATGTGAAAGTTTAGATGGTGTTTGTAAGAATTTGTATTTTACAGTTGAACGGATCTGAATGAAATTTGGTACTGATTTGATTGTCTGAAAAACCACTTAGGCAACTCACTTTTGTTTTTTTTATTACAAGCGGACGGAGTCTCATGCAAAAGATCCATCTCATTCAAAATGATTTATGATATTACGATACTCTAAGGATTTGAAATTCAAACTGTGTCAATCTATACTAAGATTATAAAGAGGAAAGATTTGTATTTTTGTATGTATTGAAATAACTCAAAAACTACTGAGACGATTTTAAAAATTCTTTCACCTTTAGAAAGGTAATTTATCTGTGAGTAACATAGGCTATATTTTTTAATTCCTAGCGGGCAAAGTCGCGTGCAGCAGCTAGTTAGATATACTTGTGTAGTAGGCGAATACAGTATCGGAAATACGGTAGGGCGAGGTTAGGTGACTACAAAGCGCATAACACTTAACACATTTTTCCATCGTATTCATGGTTAACAAAAAGGGAGCCGGAGTAATCTTGCCCAGGGCGCTTGTAAAACCGGCAAAGGACATAAATGAATGAAACTTTGTTAAAACGCAATTTAAAACAATATTTTAAAAAAATGTATCTTAGTGACCTTGAATATGACAAAACACACACTGAAAATGGCTTTTAAAAAACGAATAAGGTAATACCATCTTGTTCGTGTGCAGTCTTCATGTTTCTGAAGTTCCCCTGTCGCGTGCCGTTAGCGCGCATCATCTCCTCTGCCCGGGCAGGGGAGTAGACATGCGGGCCGCGGCCGGACGCGCGCCCTTCACTGCGCAACTTCGATAGATTGTCTAGCGATGACTTGGTGTCCTCGCCGTAGATCACTTCCACACCTAGAGTAAACATTTACAGCTCTCTGAGTACTTCTCCCGTTTACTGTGAGATATATACACTAAAAAGTAAACGAATATACCCGAAGATGCTTGCGATAAAACTTTTAGTTTGATTGCTATTCTTCTATCTTTTGATGCTTCTAAAGAAATCTTTCTAACTAAAGTTACAAATATTATGAATGCAACAAATGGATGGATGTTTGTTATAGTTTTGAGTCTAAACTGCTGAACGGATCTCGATGAAAGTGTCGATGTAAATAATAATTTGAAACAACAAATGCTAGTTACTTTTGCCTATTTTTTAATTCCACGCGGACGGAGTCACGACCAAAAACTAGTAATGTATGATGCATTAATATGTCACCTTACTAGGTTTAATTCAGTTATCTAGATGTTATTATAAACATATATAAGTTACTTTAAACAATACATAGTTATGCGTGACTTAAAAAGAATAATTACCTTCTTCATCATATTCTTTAGCAGTCTGTGAGATCTTCATGTAACTCCTCATCTCTGATATAAAGTCTATCACGGAGTCGTAATCCTCTGGAACTCCCTTAGCGGGCCAGAAGTACCAGAGGTGCGTCACCTCCCTCCAGGTCCTGGTGCCGAGGTGGACCAGCTGCAGGCTGGAGATGGCGTACTTGTCGCGCTGTTCCCGCTTCTTCAGCACCACCTGGAAGTCTCCGAAGCACCTCTTGTTGTCGGATACCTCTGATGGTGGAAGATATTCGAAGCATTTCTCCTAGAAACAGATAAGACATCGAAGAAACGTCTTGTTTGCGATTGTATACTATAAACATTATGGAATTTATTTTTCAATATAAAACATGAATATTTACACCATAGACTAAATTTTCGCTCTTTGTACATTGCGAAATATTTACATTAAATCTTTTTTTCTCTTGATTGCCGTGTATTTTACCTTCTTATGTTTCAAAAATGCATGTTTTCTGTTAGAATTAATACGCACAATTTACTAAAAACATTATAAATGCAAAAGTTTAGATGGATGGATGTTTGTTAGAGTTTGTCGCCTAAACAGTTGAACAAATCTTGACGAAATTTGGCATAGATGTAGACCATAGTTTGAAAAAAGACATGAGTCCTTTTGATTTTTTTTAAATACCACGTATCGCAGTCGGAAGCTAGATGCCTACCACTCCATTCTCCATATATTCGGTGAGCATGACGATAAGCCTGGAGTTTTGTTCCCAGATCATCCGCCAGAAGTCGTGTACCGTGTTGGCGAGCGGCGCCTGGCACAGGATGTAGTAGTTACGGATGTTGCCTGGACCCTGCAAATAATAATTCAATATTATAGAAACAATATTTAAATTCCCTTTCCAAGAAAGCTTGAAACCTAGAAATGTTAAACCCGGTGTTATGCGTGCCGTAGTCCCTATTTTAGTCCATTTCCCCGTTCATCAATTTCCTATAAGGATTGGTTACGGACGGTGAGGGTGCATAAGAAGGGGAAATATCCTTCTGTGTTTCTCAAATCCCGTCGATTAAATTTAGGCAACGCATCTGTAATTGCGATTGTCTATGAGCAGCATTCGCTTCATTATTTCAGCGAAGTTAGTTGGCCATTTTGTTTGGTATGTTACGATATTAAAACCCACAATACTTCTTCGACGAGATTAGATTCGAAACATGATTGTATAGCACACATAGTAACTTAATTGTTATTTAACTTTACAGTAATAGATAAAAAAATAGTTCAAATTGCCTAAATGAAACACATATATCTGAATTTGTGTCTAGGCAAATTACAAACAGACAGTGTTAACGATTTACCGGTAACAACCAAAACTCACCGTGACATAGTTAGCATTGATATATTCCGTGGTGGGGTCATTGCCGAGCCTGGT